TAAGACATCTCCCCCTATAATTACATTCTATATATGGAAAAATTGCAGGTTTTTAAAACTTATTTTCCATGTATAGAATCTAATTTAATTTAATTCATTCTTCCCACCATTGCAGGGAAGCAGGCACTGGCAGGTGGGGGAGGTTGGTCAAACAGTTTATTCCCTACTTGGGCTTGCCCCCCTGCCACTACTGCCCCCTACCTGTCATCTCCCTAGCCCCTCTCCATCAGACTGCTCTGTGCCAACAGGCTCCATAGACCCTGTTCTAGAATGGGGCACTAAATGTGGTCCTGTCTCAGCCCTGTAGCAGCTATGTAGGCTGCTTGCTGCTACTATAAGGCCAGACTGGGGTTGTGCTCAGTGCCCCAGGCTGCAGCATGGATGGAGCCTGCTGCCAGAGCAAGGGAAAGGGATGAAGGGAGAGAGGCTGTGTTGTGGGGAGGGTTGGGGAGATCACAGCATGCAGAGGCAGCCAGGCAGGGGGAGGGGGGCCAGTAGCAGTTGTGGCCTCAGGTAGAGGCTGGAGGCTAAGCCACAGCAACTCCCTGTTGCGTCTTTCCTCCCTCCCCCCATATTGTAAGACAAGGAGCTTTCCCTCCTATGTTAAATGGGGAAGGGCATCATCTTTAAATAGAGAAAATATAGTATTTATCTCCACACTTGCAGAACCTGGTGGCATTTCAGAAGCCATCAAGAACAGTCAGGCCTATTGAATTCTGCACGTTCCTTTATGTTGTCAAACACTCAGCCAAGGTCATGCATACTGAGGAAGTCTTAAGTCTGAGAAGTTATCCTGATAAGAGAGTTCTTCCCTAGAGCAGATGTCCACTTTTCTTCTTGAAAAAATACTGTCTCTTAAAAGGCCAACAGAGTCCTGCTTAAAGAGCATACAGGCAGGTTTTGTAGCCATAAATCTACAAACAGCTATATTGCATATCCTTTTCAGGGATGCTGAAAAGTTGATCCAGTCTTATATTTTTCAAGCAGACAAGATAAAGATGCTACAGTCACTTGCAGCTGTGTGGAAGTGTGAATCAGATTAATTCACACTTAGTAACAAGGAACAACGGCCATAAATTGATTGAGTAGATTCAGGCTAGATATCAGGAGGCCCTACTTCACTGTCAGGGCGGCTAGGAGCTGGAACCAGCTTCCAAGGGAAGTGGTGCTTGCCCCTACCCTGGGGGTCTTCAAAAGGAGGCTAGACAGCCACCTAGCTAGGGTCATTTGACCACAGCGTCCTTTCCTGCCCATGGCAGGGGATCGGAGTAGATGATCTGCTCAGGTCCCTTCCGACCCTACCAACTATGAAACTATGAATTCTGTATGCAGACAAAGCCATAAGCCTTTCCTTGAGTATTTCTATGCCACTTACCTCCTGTCTGTTTTTAAAGAAGGCTTTGTAAGGATTGCTGGAAAAGGGATGAGGAGGAACTTAATTCTATACTGGAAGTGTATTATTTCCAGTGGTCTGTCAATTCCATGTAATACGGGCATGAATAAAACCATCCAGGGGACAGTGGCAACTACAGATAAAAAAAAAATATCACATCTGTTGCATCTAGTCCTCAGCCAAGAACCACCTTTAAATTATCTGAAGAACTTATAGATGATGAATGACAACACTGGTGCTGAAGAACAAAGATACTTATGTTTTCTAGGCTCTGACAATACAGGCTGGGTGTAGCTCTCATGTTCTCTGGACTTTGAACACCCTAAATCCTCCTGTAGGTCAAACTAATGCTGGTGGAGAATTATATGCATCCCTGTAGTTTCTGTCTTGATCCCTGTATTCCTTCTCATACCAAGACCCAAAGCTTACTTCCTTTAAGCAGCCTGTTAATCAAAACCAAACACTGAAGAAGCCTTATCTGCAAGAACTACTTTCTCTTCTTCAGGATTTCTTAAAATGTCTAACAAAAGGCAAACACTTGAGCACTTACATTGCATTAAGTATGTACTACATGAATCTTTGTCAGGGTAAAACCTTTAAGAGCCTTTCAGAGCTGTGGCCAGTGGTTGGTCGTTGGGTATTAACCATCTCATTCCTTCTGCTGTACCTCTGAAACTTAGTTTAAATGCCAACATTGGCTATTGTTGTAATACAGCGATGCTCAACCTTTGGCCCCAGAGGCTGGAAGAAAGTTGCAGGGTGACTCCAGGCCAAATCCAGCCCACCACCCTGGCCCTGCACACACTGGATCAGACCCTGCTGCCTCAACCCCAGTCCCGTGTGCACTGGTGGGATCTTGTGCACAGGACCATGTCAGCTGGCTTATAGAACTTGGAAATTTGGTGACAAGGGAGAAATGGCAGCATTAGTTACTACTCCCCACAACCCTGCCAAATTTCTGCATCCTTGGAAAGCCCCACAGGCTGGATCACAGATCCACAGGCTGAGGGTTGAACCACCTGTTGTAGTGATTATCTTACTAAAATATCTAGCTCTATGGATTGCAGATTAGGAATACTACTGCCCCCATCTTTCAAACTATCTTCAGTCCATACTGTAGTTTCTTATTTCTACATGACTCACTAGAACAGAGGCTGAAGATGCAGCCTTATTTGGAAGCTCAGGATCCACTGTGATACCAAGTCTAACTTCATCTTCACATGACTTCTGGAACACCTTAGCAAAAAAACCCAACAACCCCCCCCTCCTGCCCCCCCAAGTAGTATTGAGAGACAACATGATCCCAAGGGATGGAGTGACTGCTACGTTAATGATGGACTTGAACAGTCACCAGACTAATATTCTCTAAATGTTTGGCCAGAAAAGTGCAGGTGCCAGTTTGGAACTGGTCTCAAGTTTGCCCTGAAGCCAGTTTCTTAATCATGCTGAGAGAGAGGGGACAGCCTCTCTCTCAAGAACCCAGCCTTTCCATTCCTAACCCTCCCTGTCTTCCCCACCCTCTCTTCTAGTTCATCTCCTGGGGGGAACTTCTCTTCAAAGGGGAAGCACCTTTAAAGCACCCAAGACAGTTATTAGAACAAAGGCCACCCAACAAGAAAACCCTAGTTTCTCCAAAGGGTTAAGCAATCCTTCAACCTGCACAGACCCCAGCACCCCAAGCTGTCTTCTCCTGACCCTGTAGTCCTAAATATGCTGGCATTATTGATTAGACAATACCCTGTTGCATATCTAACAGTATAAATTATGAATGCCCACCCTCAAAATTTGGCCATCTTTTCATTCCCTAAATAGGACCGCACATTGTTTCACTTCTTGGATGGACAAATAGGATAAAATTCTGCTCTAATCAACTCTATAAACAATGCTAGTGTCTTAGTTTCTTTACTAGTAGTTTATTAAACATGTGGTATAATCAGACTAATTTTATTTTAACAGTCGTGGAATAGCAGCTGAACCAGTGTACGTTGGATACTGTCCTAATGAAGCTAGAAGCCCATAACTGCCACATGAAGAATCTGCCAAATTAGCTAAAGTGCCTCCAAAGAAAATGAATCTGCATATTCAGGATGAGATTTGCACTAACAATTTTGAATGCTGGATGTTAATTTTACACTTTTAGAATAAAAATCATGTGAATTTGATACAAGCCTTAGGTGGAATAAAAACTGCTTTTTAAAAAAGAAATAAAAAACATATTCAAAAACCCAGTAGGAGTGAAGAGATTAACCAATCAACCAAAACTTCCTCACTCAAACTATAAGTGACAGGTTTTTTCCATTACCTAAAAAAACCTGTAATTCAAACATGCACCTATACCATTACCTGACCCCGATGTAAATGCATCTTTAACTTGCAACTGATGTAGGGATTCTTTACTGTAGCATCCTGCAACATGACTACTGCAACCAGATGATCAGTCAGTATTAGTAAATGGCAAAAGGACACAAATCCTTTTGGCTCATAGCTTTGTGCAAAGTAGAACTTATTCCCAATAGTTATCCATTACCTGGCAAATGCTGTTATAATGCACACACGCAAGCATATATATTTGACAAAAGTATTTAAAGTTTGGGTTAAGTGTAGAAGAGGTAAGTTTTATCTGACTTCTTCACATACTTTGGCTGGGTTATTAGAGGGCATGGGGAAAGAGCAGGTCTCAATTTATGTCTAATCAATCCTTAAATTTACTTTGAGTAACTCTTGCAAGGGAAAATGGAAACTAGGTAGGTCTCTTCTGTGCTTCTTTCTCTGGTAACTTTCAACAAGTACTGAAAATCTACAACAGTGAATTACTGACAGGCTAACCCCCACATCATTGCTCAAGGGTTGATTCATACCTCAAGCTAGACTTTGAGCTTGTATAACAGTGCTAAGAATTCTATTTCAAATAAGTCAATTAATATTAGGCACAATCACCCTTACAAAAAAAATTCTACACTTATCTTAAACAGTATTTTCCCCTTTCTTTCAAAGGACTTTTTTTTGCCCTATCCATCTTGCCATAAAGTACATAGTCTGTTTACTCTCTTTTATGCTGCTTTAGTAGTTAAGTTCAGGATGCCCTGGATCAAAGAGTTGCATAGATTTCATAGACATTTGGGCTGGAAGGGACCCAGGAGGATCATCAAGTCCAGCCCCCTGCCCCAAGGGCAGGAAGTCACCAGGGATCATAGGATCCCAGCAAGATAAGCATCCAAAGGTGTTTTGAAAGCATTCAAAGTGGGTGCTTGACAGGAGTGAGTTTAATGGGAAGGAAAACTATACTTATGTCCTCACAGCTTCACACACCAACAATAATAATTATGATCACCTGGGGCATCTTTACCCATGTTCTGTAGATGTGTGGTAGGGGGGGCACTTTAATTAGAGCAGCTCTGAGAGCCACTCAAATTAAAGTGACCCCAGCATCTCACGTATTGGCATCTCCACACTTCAAAATGGCATCAGAGGCACTTAAACTAAAGCTCATTAAATGATTAATAACAGTGCGTCAGAGCAGCATCCTCACATGTGTACAGGCCTTCTGAAGATCAAACCAAGAAAGAGTGAAGCGTGACATAATTTCCATTAGTTAAGTTTATTTTTGTAGATGAAACATTTCTTGTAGGGGCTTGGAATGTTGCCTTCAAGACTGCAGCTCTTCTTAAATGGCTTTTGGGGAAGAACTTTATTTAAATTATATCATCTAAACTGCAAAGCTGTTTCAGCATTCCACAGCAGGCTTATGTTTTCCCCTTAAACCTTCCACTGGATAGTCTGAAATACTAAGGCAGCTAAAGCCATGTACTCTTTGACAAGCCTCCTTGCTGCCAAGTGGCTATGGCAAACATGTCCCCAAGAAACATTTTAGTGAAAATAAAGTAAGTCTTTGTTCTTCTGATTATACGAGCCCCTTCTTCTGAAGCAATGCATTTTGCTCTTGCATGTTCATAGCTTGGTAATTGGCCAGTTCCAAAGTAAAAGTTGCAGAGCCTGATGTTAAAGAGCGCAGAGCTGTGGAGTAGCCCTAGACAAACACAAAATAAGTTTAAAATGTTACTCTGCCAGTCAGTCCAGGGTAGTGAAGGTAAGCACTGATTTATTAGCTGAATTTAGTTGGTGAAGAAACTGCCGTAACCACTAAGTATGAGTACATTAACTATTTTAACATGGTATCTAAAATGAAGCTATCCTATTTCCAACAGTAGTTTAGCCACACACAAAAAAAGTGTTTGGTACATGATTCATGCAAAACAATAATACATCATTCTCTTGTCACAGCTGTAACAAACACTTTCAGACATGTAGCCTCCAGAACTCTTGCTTAAGAGCTTTCATCCATTAGAAATACCAGATCCTGATTTACTCATATGAAAACTGAATCAAACAAGGGCACTTTTTTTTTTAATGAAATTGTTCTCACAATTGATCTGGCCACATACCATCATTTCTGCTAATGGAACAGCTGCAACCACAACCTTGTTATCTTGGCGAGTGTGGATTTCTTGTACGTTGCCTCTCCTCTGTGCAAGGTCAGCAAGTACTGTGCTGAGATTATCTTCATTAATTGTAATTTCCAAGCTCATCAAGGGCTCCAGCATTTGTTTACTAGCTTTCTTCAGAGCCTGAAGTGGAGAAGAAACAAGTTACATTATTCCTTTATAAAAACAAATTCTTCCATATAAAACAGGCAATATTGTAAAATGTATAGGTTATAACACCTACTTTTGTCTCATGCTCCCTACTTCAAGGTGCATTTCCCTATGAAGCATATTAAATGAGAAAAGGAAACTTACGTCATAATAATGAGTATAAGCAGGGAAAACCAAAGTAATGGCTATGAACTGGAAGACTGTTTAAGGCTTAACACTAGGAAAAACTTTCACGGTTAGGGTGCCCAGACTGTGGAATAAATTCTCTCCAGAGGTGGTGCAATCACCTATCCTGGAAATCTTCAAGAGGAGACTGGACAGTTACCTCTCTGGGGTCACCTGACCTCAATTGTCTTTTCTGCCTAGTGCAGGGGGGCTGGACCCAATGATCTTACATGGTCCCTTCCAGCCCCTAACAATCTAAGAATTTATCATACGCATTCATATTCACCTTAAACAATCAGTTATTGTCATCTCTGATGTACTAAGCAGGGGTTTTCAGCCTTTTTTTAACAAGTGTACGACTTCTGGCTCAGTTTCAGCTCATGCACCCCTTTACATTAAAATTTGAAGGGGGGGGGCTGCCACTGCTGCACATGGCATTGCACTGCTCCTGGGGCAGTTGTAGCAAGGCATAAAGCCCAGTGCATAGTGACAGCCGCCTCTGGCCCACACACATATTGTGGGGGGGACATGCCCTCCAGGCCTCCCTGGGGGTGCACAGAGCAGCAGGAGCCCTACCCCTACAACATTTTTAAGTATCCCTAGGGGTACACATACTCCTGGTTGACAACCAGTGTACTAAGAGGTAATGTTCTGGAGCAGCAGAGTCTAGCAAGCTGTCTCTTGTGGGGAAGGGGATGTTCTAATCTGAGAGAAGCCATGGCATTACAGAGATCTGCTGCCCCAGGAAAAACTCTCCAAGGAGTTATTTAACTCAGGTTGTTCCCAAATAAATTTTTCCTACAGTGGCCATTTTTACTCTTGGAGAGCAGTGACTCTCCCAGGAGAAAACATCTGTATAATGTCCCAAAGACTGTCATAATAGTGATATGGAACTGGCTACTGCAAGTCAGTGTATTAAAAGAAAGGCTATAGGGGAAGAAAGGCCAAAAGGGGAAGCATTAAAAAGCTAGAATAAGCCAGGTGTGATAAATTAAAGGTCTAGACTACCATTTTGGAAGATTAGGATCATCACTAAAGGACTGAACAGTTTATGCCAGGGAAGAATGGTAAAAAGCAGCTCAATTATAAATCAAAATGTGTCTGACTTCACTGTGTGCAGGAAGCCATATACTTACCTTAGTCAACCCAGAGTGACACACAAGCAAAATAATAATAATAGGAAAAATAAACCACAAACAAAATAGTAGGAATCGGGGAAAAAAAAGAAGCAAAAGCCTTTGTGTAAATTCCACAGTGCAATCAAACAATATTTTAAAGCAGTGGTCACCAGCTGGTTTATCATGGAGCCTCTGATAGTCAATTTCAGTCTGTCAGAGGCTCTACAACTGGGAGCAGCAGGGCACTTGGCTGGGATGAGTGCCCCCTGCCACCTGAGCTGGGCTGAGTAAGTGGGGTCAGACCCTGGGCAGCTTGCTGGGAGTGGGGGTGGGCAGGGGTGGTAGATCCTGGGGTGGTGCCCTTTACTTACAAAGAGTGATTTTCCCTATAAAAAGGTTGGAGACCACTGTTTTAGAGGTTTCTAAATGGATTTTTCAAGACTTTACTCAATTCTACAGATTCAGACAGTTTGATTTCATTCCGTGTCTTCATGCCTTAGATACCGAACACTGGTGACTTTCACTGAAAATGCACCACAAAGCTTATAACAAAGGATTTCTTTTTCACTGACACTAACTATGATATATGACTGCTGAAAAGTGGAAAGCATCACTAAGAGAATACCTACAAAAATTAGAATTGTAACAAGAAACATTGCATGTACCATTATAATCTTACAAAATAAAAATTAATGAGAAAGAAGAGTCAGAAAAGACTCAAAAACATACATATATGATATGGAAGATGCACATAATAGTATATTTCCACATCATATATGGAGGTTTCATTAGATCAATATATGGAGTGACATTACATAAGAATGGAGTGTACATTTTACATCTGTACAAAAAAATCTTTTAAGATCATAAAATATGCAAACCAATAAAATCCAGATACTCCTAAGGCAAAGAGCATTTTCCAGGTGTAAAGATTTATACCACTATCAAAGGCTTTCTTAGTTAGAGACCAAGGATGCTTTGCTAAGTTCAAGTATTTTGCTGAAAACTACCTTGCTAGAGATGATAGTAATGAAAATCCTGCAGAGTAACAAAGGTAAAAATGGAAGATTCTAGACATCCCTCATGTTTTAAGTATTCCATGACATGGAACAAAGAAACAGATAATAACCTACGTTGCAACTTCAGAAAGGCTGCATCTCATTTACCAAACTACTGTTTGTTTTACTTATACAATGCAGCATAACTATTTTACATTAGTTCTTCTAGTTCTGTTGTACCTTTTGCATGCAACGAGAAACACAAGCAGACACCATTGGCAGAGAAGTATCAGGGTGCAAAGTCACTGAATACACAGTCACTGCTACATCTTGAACTGGGAATCCTAGCAGTGGTCCTACATAAAAAACGAACAAGGCATTACCATTCAATGCTGTTTTTCATATTAACCAGGGGAAATGTTTTTGCATTTATCTGAAGCCTGACAGTCCTCCTCCCTCTGAGGAATAGAGCTACTTCTCATTCCTTCTCTTAATGTTAGTTTTATCACTGCCACCATCACCTTTCCTGAATCCTTTTGAGGAAGGGTATTTGGACACAAGCCAGTCAGAGCTGAGGAGGTTCTGCAAATGGAGTTTCTGAGCCAGCACAGAACAAATTTTTAAGGACCAGAACTGAGGCTCACTCCATAGTAAAAAGTTGGAGCAAATTCTGCACAAAAGAATGATGTGGAAGAAACTCCTCACATTCCCTTTTAAAAAGTTTTTCTTCTCTCATGACTCCCTCTGCCAGGGATTTTATTTCAGGAAGGGAGTGATCTGGGAAGAAGTTATTACTCACACTACATTAATGTTCTGTTTTGGGAAGTTAAAAGGGTTAGTAACAAAACAGCAGTGATCAGTCTTCTTCAATAAGCAACTGCTGCTCTATCTACGAGATATGGTTTCCAGGAGAGGCCTAGATCACTGTTCTGAATTGATTCAGCACTGATTTGGAGAGATTCAATGATATGGATCGGCCGGGGAAAGGCAGGTACAGCTGGACAGCTGCAGGTTCTCCTGCGGCTCCTCCAGCTGTGCCTGCCTCTCCCTGGGTCGGGGGAGCCATGGGAGAAGTCCCCATGGCTGCCCTGCCCAGCCGCATCCCCACCCAGCCCGGCCAAGCCTCCCAGCACTTTAAAAAAAGAGCCCTGCACTCACTGACTGCAGGAGCAGCGATTGGGGCCTCTGGGTGAATGTGGCAGAGCCCTCCCCGTGCAGCGCAGGGTAGTGGGGATGGCAACCCCCCCCACAATCCCACCTGGCACCCATGCAGTGCAGCTCGACAGGGCACTGCGCGCTGTCTGGGAGCTGGGGCCTCTGGAGCTGAGTGCTGCCGGGTTCCGGCTGACACATGAAGTCACCCCAGCTCCCAGGCGAATTGAACTGGTTCAATTCCCCAGCCCATAGTTTGATTTGCCCAGCAGCGCTCAGCCCCAGTGGCCCAAGCTCCCAGACAGCACCCTGCCGAGCCATGCTACACTTGTTCATGGAGTAGCTGCCGCACGCAGGGGTGGGATCCTCACTGTCCCTCACCACCCTGCGCTGCACGGTGGGGTGCTCTGCCACAAGCCCTCAGAAGCTCCAATCACCACTGCTGCAGCTGGTGAGTGCAGGGCTTTAAACAAAACACCAAAAAAAAAAAAGTGTCAGAGGCTGGGCTGGTTAGGGCAGCCATGGGAGCTTCTCCCACAACTCCTCCAGGAGCAGCACTGGGAACAGGGTATATGTCCTGCTGCCACTTGTCCCCTTCCTCCTGGAGTGAGCTGCGCCCGCATTCCACCTTGGCTACCAAGCGGCAGCCATGGCACAGCCCCTGCTCCCAGCGCTGTCATGCCCACATCCCACGCCACCCCCCTTTCCCCCCTCCCAGCTGGGAACTCATTTCAGCCCCAGCCCCAATTCCTCTGCCAACCCCAACAGACTTACCAGCTGGAGACAGCTGTCAGCTGCCTGTTTAGTCTATGGCCGACTCTCCAAAATCAGCCGAACCTTCTCCAAATCAATTTGGATGCCTCAAATCGATTCAGAGCTTTTACTCGGTCTCCCGCATCAATCTGGATTTGGAGATTCAGTCCCTGAATTGGGCTGAATCTCCTCTGAACTGAATTGGCTACCAAAGCTTCACATAGCCCTAGTTTCCAGCTTTTTAGTTATTTGTAACAGCTCTATTACCTTGAAGAGACGCACTGCTAATTCCATTTTCTATAGCTTCCTGAAGCTCTGGATGAAGTGGCTCAGTGAAATTTTCAGCATACTGAATGACTGGTGATATTGCTGCTCTCTCCCCTGTCCAGGGACTCACTCCTAGCTCAACGGTCACCAAGTGCCGCTTTTCTGCTATTGTTCTGTCCAGTGTATCTGTGGATAAAATACAGTGAATATTTTAGCACGTGGTTTTAGCTCAATCCTATCTAAAGGTTTAAGGTAAATGAATAACATCAGAAAACCACTTCAGTAAATGACTAAAGTAAATACATCAAAAAGACAGAGCACTAATACTCTGTGCACTTGTTCACTTTACCTGTAGCTTGAACTGAGTTTAGGATGGTTTCTCTATATGCTACCTGAAGAGGTCCCAGATAGGTCTCAATTCCATATTCACGTTTGATCCGGTCATGAACAATTTCAATGTGAAGTTCTCCCATGCCACAAAGGATATTCTGGTTAAAAGCACAAACTAAGTGAGAAAAGGTAATAAAACCTATGCTTGTAGGGTTGTAGGCAGAAACACCTAATTGGTTTTCAATACACATTATTTAGGAGCCTATTTTTACATACTGTGCTGTTCAAATGCTTTTACTTTTTTTTTTTTAAGATTCTATAAGAAACGCAGATATTACAAGTGGAAATAAGGAGGCTTTATGACTTATTCTGGGTCCCACACTTAAATGAAGATGGCAACTACAGCTCTGCTATTACTACAAAAATTGACCATTCTTCCCATATTAGTTTTTCAGTCTAGAAAGTCTGAACTTACTTTTAGAATTTATATAAAAACAAAATATGTGCTAGTTAGACAGCACAAAGATAATCTTGCAATCTCATTCAATCTCTCTTCACAAAGAAGGGTTTTATTTCAGTCTGATGTTCTGACACAGTAATTCTACTTATAATGTGAGCATTTACTTTTGACCCTGAATTGTGAAAATATTTAAGTGAACTAAACTGGGGAGTGGGCTTGACCCTTCTGCCAGTAAAATATATTGTGGTAATACTGAGTTTTATATGTTTATATTTAAAAAAACGGCTAAAAAAATCCTCAAAATCTGTGGCTCAAATGAATAATATATTAACATTCTTACTTGGCTAGTATCAGGATCTATCTTCACTTTTAAGCTTGGATCCTCCAGCTGAAGGCACGTCAAGGCATTATCCAAGTCTATATAAAAATATCAAATATTGTTATGTATGAAAAATGCTACTAACCAGTGACTAGCCCAGAACAGTAATAAGTTCACCCATGGGTCAGGTTCTGCTCTCAACAGGAATCACTGAGACTGCAAATATAGCCATAAAAACACATGTTTTAGCCCTATAATTCAGACGCTAAATCATTTCCAGTTGCACACTTTTCTCAACTCAGATTATGTGAGCCCAAAGTGTTGTGGTAATAAAAAAAGCACTCTCTCTTTACTCATGTGTGTTTATTACATCATACAAAAATATAAGAATGTCAAGGCAACTTTTATCTTGAATGAAAGTGGCTTTTAAAAAAGACAAAACAAGGTTTTTCTCATTCAAAAATAGTGGGTTACTAAGCAAGACAACCCATACTAAATCTACTGATATGGGAGAAGCAGGTTAGTTACCTCAAAACTAATCATTTAAATGGGAACGAGAGGGGGAAGTAAAAAAAATGCCACCGCTTCTACAATAAAGAACCAATAATCTAATCTTTAGTTTCCAGCCAAAAACATCATGCAAAAGTCATGCACCATATTAGCAAAGCCATACCACATTAGCAAAATACATAAACATGGCATTTGTGCAAAATCACGAAGTCTTACTGTATTCACTGATGCCCACCATATTTGTGTGTGCGCATTAAGGGTACAGTATGGCTCTAAAATTGTTCAAGTAGCTGTGCTATACCTGGCTGCTGGGTCAGTGAAGGTGGCTCTATTGTACAAAAGAAGACTGGCTCTGGAATCTCCACACCAGCCAACAGAAGGCTTGCTACTTCACTGTTACGACTCTGCTTTCTCTCAACATTTCTTCCAGCTCGATGAGCAGCAGCCACAGCAGAGGACTTTGATGAAACGATGGTGTCTCCAGTGGCACTCTATAGCATGCCAAACAAAGACACTGTATTGTCTGCAAATAACTGGTTTTCATCACAAAAGACACTTACAAACAAGCAGTTATTATGGGTTCTCTTGATTAAATTAAAGGAAAAAGCCAGGAGAGCAGAAACACTAATTATGTAACTTTGCTCACCAGCAGACCAGCTATTATAATACTTTCTTTGCCATTTTGCTTTTAAACACAGTATAAGCATTTGCAAAGCCAAACTGTATAGAAATTCCTCCATGTACAAGAGGGAATCCTTTTTAGAAGAGGTAGTAGGACTGAGCTGTGCTACATGAACACCAGGATAAAAAGGACTTCCTAACTGAACTAACAACCTAAACAATGAAACTGGCAAGTAGCTCGTAAATTAGCTTGGTGCTGCAGTGACTGTCTGGACAAAATAGTCAGCAACATAGTTCTTATTTCACATTTATTGATTTTAACCCTGTCTCTGACATCACATTTGATGGTATGTGAGAAAAGCAAACTTTTCACTTACAAGACCAGCTTCAGTCTATTCCCCAACTAAGCTGGCATTTCTTCAGATCACTTTCTGAAGTTGGTATACTGTCAATTTTCATTTGAAAAGGAAAAAAAATACAGCTAGCTATTTAGAGATGTTAATATTGACAAAATGAAACAAACTCAAATATTTTATGACAAAGGCAAAAAGTTTTAAACTAAGAGAGCGTGACAATGTTTTTCAGATGTATGACGTAAATGTGCCTTTTCAAAGTAAGCTGCCCATAAAACAAGCAAACATTTTTCCTTTACCTTTTTTAGCCCAACTGTAAGGCCAATATTACCAGCTGTCAGTGAAGGTATTTCAACTTGTTGGTCAGCAAATGGCAGGATAACGCGACTCATTCTCTCCCTACAAGTTAAATGTTCATGTTAATTGCTACTCAAAAGTGCCAATGCTACAACCAATAGCACAGCTCACTCTTACTCACGTGCAGTTTTTGTTAATGTTGTATACAGCTGACTGAGGTTTCACAGAGCCTGAGTAAATGCGAATGAAAACTAGAGGCCCACGCTGTTTATCATGAATAACTTTAAATGCCAGGGCACACAAGTCATCTTTGTACCATTGCCTGAAAAATAAAGGTAACAAATTAGGACAAGCTTCATGCGATTCACTGGTTTAAAAAAAGGCACCCCAGCATTTAATTACATTTCCACTCATTTAAACTAAGCTTCTGTAGTGACAATTGTTAGCTCTCATTAACACCAAATTAAATGTATACCCCAAAGTAAATGTATATGATTGGTATCAATCCATGTAGTTCCAATAGCAACAAAATCAGGTACATGTTGAAATGTGATATAAACAATGCAGTAAAAAGCCTAACCCCATCCCTGCACAGATTTTAGATAGCACTGGCTGTGTACTTATAAACTATATTTTCAATGAAAGCACATTTTGAGCTGTGAACAAACATAACATTTAAAGTGCTTCAAATGCCTTTGCATTTGAAAAAAGCATACCGTCTGAAGTATCAGAAAAGCAGCCAAAGCACTCCAAAATAGTATATCTTGAAATGAGATGCTATTTAGAAACATTTCACTTCAAGTTATGTTTGCATAGAGACAGGGGACCCAAAGACCCTCCAGAAACCCACAATTGTCCATTCTCTGCCACACCGTCTAAAAAGTGATGGAGAAAAGGGTAGATAGCATGACAAACTGATAGACAGCCTGATCAGATGCAGTGTCCCTGTATTCCAAAATGAATAAGAAACAAGTCAAAACCTTTTAAAATAGTCTCATTTTGGAAATAAAATAGGTTTAATTTGTACTTTTCCCAGATAATTTTCCTGTTCCTTTACCTTCTCAATGCACTTACGAGAAGTCATAGAAACGTTCATTAGGTGCAGGCAAGTACATAACAACAGCATCCAGTAACAGCTGTACGCCTTTATTCTTCAATGCACTTCCACATAGCACAGGCACTGCTTTCTGAGCCAGCGTCACTCTTCGTATTGCAGATTGTAACTGCATTAGAGAAGAAATGGGAATATTTTCAATTCTGGTATTTATACAGATGTATGATTTCACCTTGATTTCTGCTCAGTTTCAATACATGAAAATATAACTAGAGAAGAAGCAAGAAAAACCATGGCACAATTCCAGAAAGCCAAACAGGGACCCTTCCACTAATCCGATGCAAATTGTACTCAGAGGGTGTGCAGAAATTTGTGGAAATCTCCCAAATAAGACAAAAAGCACAATATGAAAGAAAACCAATATGTTAACCAATTTAAGATTTAAAAAGTTATTAATTTATGATCTTCACAACTACTACAATTTTCTAAATTAGGTAAAATTAGAGCAAATTCTTACACTGCTATAACTATCACAAACAATAATCCACATGCAAGTCAACCACTACTTTCTACTCAATTCCCCTCATTAAAAATAACCATTTTTTTCTTCTCTAAACTACAAAATAAAATCTAGCCACTTAAATATTTACTACACCTATAAAGGCAGATCAGTACTACACCATTACAGGTACACCTCTAAAGGCAGATCAGTTTATGTTTTTCACCTTTGTAAACAAAAGTTAGACACAGGACTCATGCACAGAAAATTAACCCATGACATCTTATATCTCAATGTGTACAGAAAACCAGAAGTATTAAAGTTACATACTGAACTGTTTCAAGGAGATGCAATTTATTCACTTGTCATTTGGGAAATTATTTGAACAAATGTCTGAAGATGAATTTAAAAGCCAACTAGTAACTAGAGATTACAGATCAAATCATTTCACAACAGATTAAATAAAAATCAAAATCTTTTATTTGAAATATTTTAAAATCAGATTTTACATATAAATTTATTTTTATTTTCTTCCCACTATATTATTAAGTGGTTACTTTCTACTTGTTGCCTTAGTTTCATAGAAGTTAAGAGATGCTCTGAAGCTTTATACTTGAAAATGCTAGGGTACACTGAAAAGACAAGTCACAGCCTCATAAGTAGCCTTCTTGTTATACTGTATTTTCTCATATACCACGTCTCTAAATACAACACACACCTTCTTTTGGGAAAGCAGAATGAAGAAAGAACATTTTTTCTAAACGTGGCTAAAGGCTGACTGCAGCAGCTGTGGCTCTGAGAGTTAACACTAACGCTAACCCTGAGGGGTAAACTCTGTCCCTTTTCTTCTCCCTGCTTCCTGATGCTGGCAAAGGTAGCCATCCTGCAGCAGTGTTTCTTTCCATGCTTCTATTCCAGTGAAGCACCCTCCCTGGTTAAGGCACACACCCCAATTTCGGATGGCTATTTTCTGGGAAAAGGGTGGATGAGTTATACAAGTAAATATGGTAATACCATGAATTCAGACATTAAATTGATAGTCAAATAGCACAGGATTATATTTGCAAACAAAATTAACTTATATACTGACTCATAAAATCACAAAAAATTAAAAGACCTTCAACCAAGCTATACCATCAGGGAATAAACTATGTTTGTGGAACTAAATCCCATAGGCGCTGTTCCAAAATTATGCTTTTCAGGTCTTAGATCCAAACTCTGGCATCTAAATTTAGGCTCCAGTATTTTACAATGTTGGTGCACGCACACAGAAAAAATAACTATCATGTACTGAAGTTTAAACAACTTTTCACAGTTAACACCACAGCATTTTTTTCAAGTGACAACAATTTTCTACCACTAGAGGAAATTTTTAATAAAAATACAATTTTATTACTCAAAGCCAATGTGCTTAACTCTACACCCATGGGTAAGGTCCTACTGAATTCATGGTAGAAGCAGAATGCGTGGCAGGTCCTTTAATCTGGCATGTCTCTATCCCATGTGCTCCCCCCTTCCCCCATCTCTGCTGCTCAGGAGGGAGCAGCGGGGGCCTCCACTGATCAGCAGGGAAGCTAAAACCGCTGTTTTAAACATGGTGCCATTTTTGCCTCCCAGCTAGTCAGCAGCAAACAGCAGGGCTGTATGGGGCCGCTCAGCCAATCAGTGGTGAGACACAAAAACAATGCCTTATTTAAAACCACAGTTTTCGCCTCCCCACTGATCAGGAGGGAGCTGCAAGCAGGGCCCCTCCACCAACTGGGGAGGGGGGGGGCAGGGAGGGAAGAGAGAAGTGGGGACCTGCAGGGGAACCTGCAAATTAAAGGAACCACAGTGGAAACCCCACTTTCATCTTGAATTTGGTAGGTCCCTACCCATGGGAAATCCTATTAAAGCTGATCTGGATCTTTCCACAGACTTTCTGGATCAAGCCAAAGAACTGCACATGTAGATGCAACACAAGGAGCTGCTGTAACAACGCTATGCTAGACCTCAGATTCTATGATACCCAAACAAGTTAACACAGGCCAACCCTGTTCTGGTCCCTCCTGTGAAGAAAGGAGCATCATTTCTGTCAGATGCCAATCCTGAAACTCACTTCACACCAAATTTTGCTCTGTTACATTGATGTAAATCTAGAACAGTACAAAGCAAAAGCTGGTGCATTACATGTTGATGATCTAATTGTCCCTTCCCTTATTTTCCACTTCAGCAACTACTTGCCTTTAAATAAAAATGCTCATAATAAAATTACTATGGAAAGTTCCCAACATGATAATCACATGCATTTGCAATATCAAATGAACCTTGATACACAGCTGAACATATTTCTTGGTAAATTCACAAGACTTTCATCACCAAGTTTTAATACTGAAAGAAACTACCTGGAGAGCAAATCTTATGATGTTCATTCTTCACATGATCTACAACTGATTTTAGCAACTATTATTAGCAACCTGCTTCTGCAATTAAAAAGTGCTTTCTTTTTTTAGCATTCAAATCACACATTTGCTGAGTCACATTCCACCTGTGCAATATTAAAATAAAAGCCACTCAGCATGAGGGCTGACAGAAATGCAATCTTAGTAAAGAACGGTAAAGATGTACCTTATCAGCTGGTAACAAGTCAAAATTTTCACTAAACTCTCCTAACACCAGCTCAGCAAATTCATCATCGAGATCTGCAACCTGCAAGAGAACACTTTCGCATTATGTGTGACATTATTTCAAAAGTAATCCAGCAATGCTTGTTATCTGGACCTGATAATTACATGGGATAGAAGCAAAGCCTCTGTGGACATTAGAGTTTGGAGAACTCGTCATATTTTGAATCCATTTGAATAATATATTTATCATTTACACAATAACATTCACAAATTTAACAAGATTAATGCACATATCACAACTGTTAACTACTAAAAACATTAACTTAAATAATGGTGATCATTAAACATTTTTTAATGAATGTTTCCTTCTTGTATTACAAAACCTAGTAGTTTATACATGAAATGTTTCAGCATTCTCTAAAGCAAAAACCAAAGCAATTTGCTTTCCTTGGGGGAAAAAACCTCTGAATTGAAAAACAAAAGAAATGCACTGAATCCAAAAATACTCAGGTGGCCCGTCAGGTACATTCTACCCAGCAACACATTAAGTAGAACAAGATTTTCAATATCTCTTCAATTCTTCAGCACGACTACCTAGGTTCTTGGTACACTGCTTGGAGAGGGAATCCTCAACACTGCTGTAAAACAGGAGGTCTCAGCTGGGTTGCTGAGGCAGCAGCCAGATAAAACTGCCCCTTGTGCAGGACTGAGGTGCACATGCACTCCTGCTAAATTAGGGCTCTCTAATAACCCTAAGGCAAGATGAGTATAGCCCATCCCAGTCCACCTCCCCACACCAACTCCTCCTGGAAACAGAAACATGCAGGACAGTTCCACCCACAAGATGCTAGATCTGGGAGAAGCGTAAGGCTGGTGGGGACCCCAATGCAATGAGGAAGGCATGCACATGCCACAGCCCTTTTCCAGTTGACTGTGCAGCAAGTATGAGAGGCAGTTTTGAAGGTAGCAGCAATCTGGTCAGAAAGAACTGAGGTAAATGGAGGCAGCACCAACAGTGGTGCTGAAGGTACTGCTACATTGAAAAAAAAAAACCAACTGTGGAAAGATGTCATGTCTTTGAAAAAATTGAGAAACACTGCTGTAAAGCACTATGCTATTATGCTGTTCTCTCTAGCAGCTATAAAAGCACCTGGTCAGCTAAACCAAGTATTATCTATTTGGAAAGAGAAATCTAATCAGCTACATATTAAGAACAAAGCAATGCATTTATTTCTTTTAATTAAATGAAAGGGAAAATGCTACATTTTATAAGAGATGTAGCCCATTTATTAAATGTTAGAGCAGTGCTGACTGATAGCTTTTACTCAAAGAAAGCACTAGAGGACTGAAAGTAATAAAATATACAGCACTTCATGAAGAGAACTCTGTTTTCCCAAACCATCAAGTCCTATTCAGCTGCTCGGAAGGATAATTAAATAAAATTACATGCTCTACATTTATACAATGCTTTTACCTCACTAGATCAAAATGATTCACACAAAGATCCCACCCTGCGTTGCCTTCTGCTAGAAGTGAACTTGAGTTACGTACTATAATTCCCCATCCTGCAGGTGAGCAAATCTCAGGAACAAAGAGATTCTATTATTTTCCCAAGCAATTTTGGGAGAAATATGGAATAGCTCTCCCAGTTCTCTATGTGACACCGTAACCATGACAGTCTTCCATTGTCTCCCATATCTGACATCTTAGAGCAGTGGTTCTTAACCTTTTTAGTCTCAAGACTCTGCCCCACAAGTTTTCAAAATTTAGCAGCACCATATTTTAAAAACAGATATATGTATATTAGAAACTCTATGTTATTAATGAATGTGTTTTTAATTGTATCACTATAATATAAAATGTAATACAATAGGTCACCCCTTCAGGTGCTCCATCTCTGCCTAGCCCCGTGCACATTTGCTCCCAGAGTGGCACTGTGACTCCCTACACACAGGTCCAGGGCAGTGCCGGGTGGGCCCAGAGCAGTGCTAGGGATAGGGAACCAGAAGGCTGATTTCTGGCCTTAGTTATCTCCCGGCAGCCTTGAGGCCAAAACAGACAGAGCCCAGCGACACCCAGCCAGCAGAGATAAAGCGACAGGCTACACATGTGGCACACAGAGGATAGTAAGGGAGGAAGCATGGAGGATTGGGGGGGGGGGGCAACAGAACACCTGGCTGTAGCCCCCCTCCCCACTCCTAGTCTGTATCTGAGGGGACAAGCACAACCCCCGACACTGCAGCTGCTCCTCCAGAGACTCAAATGGCAGGGCTCAGAATTACCTGCCTCCACAGCCCTATTACTGGCCCTGGGAAGGTGAGAAGAACAGGGGGATGAGTCAGGCTGAAAAACATGGCTCTCTATCCACCTGTCCACGGCACAGCACTACCAGTCAGAGTGGCCAGCACAAGGGCTGGCCAAGGATGGAATCCACAGGTGCCCTTTTGTCCATGGGACTGAGGCAGGCAGGAGGAGGAACCTACTTGTGCAGGGGCTAGGTGCTGTGGCACTCCTGAGGAGGGATCTCATGGCACCCCATCTGAGAATCACAGGTTTAGAGGAAGCTGAAAGTCCTCTTTAATCCACCCAACCAGCTGTGACTTTCTACTCGTGGCTGGGTGGAAGAATCTCCCTTGATAAACACAGCAGGGCAGCTTGTACCCAAAACAGTCAACCACCATAATTTTAACCTGAATAACAAATATTGCAGTCATGCTCACTTTCTCTATTCAGTACTTGTTATAACTACTCTTACAAAGAACTGAATGTAAACAAAAAAGAAATAATTGTTTTTTGAGAGAACAAATCTCACTAAAATGCAGTAAAGCCCTACAAGGAAAGCTAATCCCCACATTACACTTTACACAAGCTGTCCCAGAGTGTTCAACATCATGATGTGAACTCAGAACTTTTAAAAAGCCCACTCAAAAATATTCTGTCCTTTTTTACATGTGAGACTGTTTAGTATTTCAGTCCTCTAAACCAAACCAATTACAGTAAATCTACTTTTAAGCCATCATGCAGAAATCAATCAATATGTTAATAGCTGCAAAAAAACACCCCAAAAGTTGTAATCTGAGCAAGAGAAACACGTATGTGCACCTAAAATAAAGAACCATGAGTTAAGAGAGCAGAACCTGTATTTTCATGTCTGCTATGGACTTTCTGTATTCATCTGGCCAAAATACTTAAGCACTCCGTGCTTTAGTCTCAAGTGCAGTGAGACTAATAAGCCCAAATCTGCTTACAATTAAGCAAGTTTTGCCTAATTTATTAAATGCTTCTACAAATGCCTCAACATCCTGCGATGGAAAGAAAACAGTATAAAAGTGCAGAGCGTTAAAAATATTTACATTACATATTTACTTTAAAACTTTACTTGTTCTATTAAGGCATTTCTTGCATCTTTTGCTTCCTTTAAAAGTCCAAGATCATCAGTTTCTGTCAGAGGTTTTTGTTCAAAAACTTTTCCATCATCAGAACTAGAAGTGGGTTTCCAAATAATTTGTTCCTTGGTCACTACATCAATCACTCCCTTGAAAGTTTTGGCTTTTCCAATTGGCAACTGTGGATAAAACAAAGTTGCTCCATTAGGAAATGTATGAAGATAAAACCCACCTCCCACATTAAGATATCAAACATGTTTCAGATTTGCTCATCACAAAATAATTATTTTACCTGTAAAAGCAGAGGTTTTGTCTTCAATTTTTGCTTGATGCTCTCTATAGCATAGGCAAAACTATATTAAAATAACAGAAGTTGAAAAAGTTATCCAATTGTAATGGTATGTAACAAATGAGTTTGCCATTTACTTGTTGCAAAACTCCTCTCACAGGAAAATGCATTTTGGACACACACGCAAAAGGTGGATGCACATCTAATAGTAGATATTTTACTGCCTACCCACAAGTCTGGTATTTTTAGCTCCAATTAGGAAATATGCAGCTTCATTTATAAATTAGAGTGATTCTTTCACAGCCTCCCCAACAACATGCTTTTAGTCGCTTCTAAAAATAGAAATGATTGTCCACATACTCTGCTTCATTTTTGTCCATCTTGTTTAAAAAACAAATCCGTGGTATATGGTTCTTGTCTGCTTGTCTCCACACGGTCAAAGTCTGTGCCTAAAAGCAAAGAAGTGTATCAACACACTTGTCCAGACATCTGAAAGATAGCATACTCCAATGCAGGAGACCAACTCCTTCCTTTTTCTAATACTCTCTACCCTTACAGCAAGTAAGCAAGAGTACAACACAAGCAAAGGAAGGGACAGCTATATCCTCTTGATCTATTAAACAGAAGCAAAAATGGACTCCCAAAGGAGCTTTGTCCCAACCAGCCTCTTCTTAACTAATTCATCCTCTAATCCTCAACCTACAGAAGAGTTAAAGTGAAAAAAATGGAGGAAATTTAGGGCCTTGTTGCACATTAATTTTAGGCAGCTCTTGATGCTCTTAATCTCTGGACTGTCCGCATATTAACACCTGAAACTAGTTTTAAACATACTTTAGGTGGCTTAAAGTTATGCCACTCCAAAGCAGGTTTCTCTCTGACGTGTGTTTTGCAGCTCACATTCCATTAATGTATGGCCACTCCCCATGGATGAGCTACCCAAGTTGCAGCCCTCTAGCATCTCAGGATGCAGCATATCCTTCCCCACCCTCCTGTTCTGTGTGGACAAACTTTCCATCCCCTGAGCTCTACTACCCAGGAGGCAGTTCTAGCCCCAAGTCAACTCCCCTTCCTGTTCCCAGGGGTGCAACTGAGTTGGCCAACAGCATCACAGAGTTTCACCACTTGTAAAAATCACCAGAGCACAACAGAATATCAGTCAAACCCCTTTCTTCCAAAGCACTGCCTATACTGAGGCTGGGAAGGTGGTAGCATAGAACCATCTGCATCAGCTTCATGCCACAGAGATTTACTTCACAGCTAGGGCTAGCATCTATTCTCACACTGTGTTTCTTCAGTCCTTACTGTTTCCATTTGGATTTGCTTCTACAATGTGCTAATAAAAACTTCCCATTAGGTGAGGCCCAAAAATTCAACATTAAAAAAACCCTATGTGTTCCTCTTGCTGCCAGCTAATTTTCTTAATTTGTTTCTCAGCACTAAACACCTGCAAGAATTTAATTAGCCAGTGGACCCTATGCAGCTAGCCAGGTTGCAGGGCATGGATGGGTTCAGGAGAAGGGGGGGTAAGATAGGGGGCCAGATCAGATCCCCATGAGCTGCGGCTTCCTTCCCTGCGCATGGGTAGTAATTCCCGTAAAACCACGTTCCCTCACTACTCCCACCTCCCAGTCACCCCAGGAAGCAAGAACAGCACCCCCCCCCCCACACGCACATAAATTCCTATATATGAAAACATGAGACCTCTAATTTACTTCCTATTCCTTTTTAATTTTTTCTTACCTTTTTATTTTATCCTTCAATGGCTGGCTGACTTCACTTCACCACCCTTTCCTTACTCCCATTTCCTTTCTACCTCTCATTTTATTATTCATCCCTATTCCATTAACTCTGTCTGCCAGCTTCATGTGTCCTCCCAACTCAGCTCTCACTTAACCCCACCTGGAGTAGGTACAGAAGCCTGTCCTGGCTCACCAGCCCTGTAGTGGTAACTCAGAGCTGCAGCTTCTAGTCAGATCCCAGCTCACCAGCCCTCTAACGGCAAGACACAGATGTGTAGGTAGGGGAGAGTCAGAGAAGATTTTTAGCCTCAAGGTGCGATTGCTCCAAACTCAAGATAACACTAACACTGATCAACATTTGGGCAGCTCAGTGTGCAATGTGTAACAAGGCCCTAAGCAACATGGGAGGCTCCAAAAGGACTAAAAGTGTCTGTGTGCTCATGCAAACACACACAGTATGCAGACTGCTGATAGTACTTCAAAGAGCACAAAAAAGTGAGCATTATTATGACTATAGATAGCCAAGATGTATTTACTGTAACTGGACTGACATAACAGTAGCATTAAATACATTTATATAAAATACATAAAATACAGTCTCTTACCAAAGTGTGGCAGAAGAGGAATTGTGTATGTAATAGTAGATGAAAATTTTTTTTAACCCCTAGAGGTTTTCCTTTTCATATTAGGTAGATTTTTAATACTATGCTTATGATCATGCCATCTTACTCCTTTCCAATAGCACATTAAGGATTGTGGCTAAAATATTTCAGGAGTTGTTTATTCTCTCATTCTCTCCCACGGATAGAAGCATGTATTACAGAGCATCCTGTTTTACTGTATCTTTTCTGCATTGTGGTTACACAATACCTAAGCGCCACCTCAAGACAAAAATCAAATTCAGGCCTATCCCCATGTTTTCTGCAGCCAGCACAATCCAGTGAGGGAAACAACACTGAGTATCACAGTAATTCTCTAAAATAAAATCTGACAAAATGAGAAATTAACAGTTACTCATCATTTTCCATAGGTGGAGCTACCCAGAAAATCTTTCAATCTCTATTTGTTATAGAACACCAATGAGAACACCACTTATTTTTGCCTCTAACATCAAGGCCAAGAAAACGCTCATTACCAAAGAAAACAAAACAATTTCTACATGAAATCAGATCTTCAAATTAAACTTATCGTTCCCTGAAACCAACAATTTCAAGTTATTATGTGGAGTAAAGTTGTCACTGAAAGTCAATCATTTTTACCTCCACACCAGCTGAAGCATCCAAGACAGCCACAGCTCCATCCAGCACTCTCAGGCAACGTTCAACTTCCACTGTAAAGTCCACATGACCTGAAGAATTGCAGACAAACCAGCAAAAGTAGCAAGTTAGAATGGCAACACTTCAAGTTTATAAAATATATATCCATCTGGGTACATATACAACATATGTCTAGCACAAAGGTACTGGAGCTAACTTTAAAACTGCTAGCTCAGACAAAGGCAAAGACCTCAGTCTGGGCTGGCTTGGTACTGCAACAACTGGCCCCAGCGTGGCTCTCTCATGATCCCACAAAGATTTATATTCCATGCCACCACTGTTGAAAAAGGTTAAGAACAAATTAGCAAGGTCTGTAAGACAGTCTGAGGCCTAACCACTCACACAGACTGCTAATATACTTTGTCTGTGATACCTGGGTGCACCTGTAGTTTCAGATCAAGTATGCTAATTACTATAAGCAACCTTGTTTATGTGTTGTTAAGTACTCAGGCTAACTCCTCCCCAAGACAAGTGCAAACACAAAGACCTAAGGGTAAGTGAATTATTAAACTTTGGTAAAGTGACCATAAAGCATGTGGAATGAGGGAGGAAGTTAAGAAAACTTTGTATTTTCAAGTTGGCACCAAGCCAAATGGAGAAAATAAGAAATCCTCCCTTTCAAAAATTACACCTCTACAGAGGGATACATGTTGTCTAACTGGTATCTCTCCAGGCCCACTAGTAAATAGGTTTGAGCTGGTTCCCCAGAGATTCAAAGTTAAACAGACCAATGTGGGAAAGAGCCAGAGTCTCAACAACACAAAGCAAGACCCAGCAGGGGGAAAAAAAAGCTGAAATTCTGACTATTAAAAAGGCCAGGAGAAGACTGAAGATTTGAAATCTTTCAGCCCTAGTTAGTAGATGTTGAACTACACTTTGTGCTACTCTTTAGGGTGCCACCAACTTGCCTGTCTATTCAGTGGGGCTAGGATGCTATTCCTCCTATAAAAGGTTTGAATGATAAACCCAACCTGTCAACTCTCAGACCCTTTCCATACTAGGTGGGAGTCATGGTGTTCCTATGCAACATGCTTGATCCATCTGTTCCTCCTCACCACCAAAACCTAATAGATCATATTCAAAACATAGTACCTGGTGTGTCAATCAGATTGATTCTGCAGTCCTTCCACTCAAAAGTAACTGCAGCAGATTGAATGGTTATGCCACGTTCTCGCTCTTGTGCCATAAAATCTGTCACTGTGTCCCCATCATCAACATCTAAAACAGCATGGATATATGCACCATTTCAGTTCAGTCACATAACTTTAGCTTTATAAAATACCTGCCTTGAAACAAAGTAAATACAATGATGTTTTATCCTATACCCCATCTAGTCAGTATACTTTTAAGCCAAGAAACCTTCTTATCCAAGGAATGGAATGATGATGCTATTGGTAAATGCCAGCTGAACTGAATTTCTTTCTTGGGAAACAAATATTCTGGAGAAGAAGCAGAATCCCCAGATATGACAGAACTCTCTTCCACTCCACTTTTTTTGGTTGGAGAGGTGCCATTCTGTTACCTTCACTCCCCAGTCCTGTAACCAGCTGGTTGCTGATTTGACGTGCTATGCAATTTAAAGCAATCCTAAGAACTGTTTAAGCTGAGTTGGCCAACAGCATCACAGAGTTTCAGCAATTATGAAAATCACCAGAGCACAACAGAATATCAGTCAAACCCCTTTCTTCCAAAGCACTGCCTATACTGAGGCTGGGAACGTGATAGCATAGAACCATCTGCATCAGCTTCATGCCACAGAGATTTACTTCACAGCTAGGGCTAGCATCTATTCTCACACTGTGTTTCCATTTGGATTTGCTTCTATAATGTGCTAATAAAAACTTCCCACTAGGTGAGGCCCATAAATTCAACATTAAAAAAGCCTATGTGTTCTCTTGCTGCCAGCTAATTTTCTTACTTTGTTTCTCAGCACTAAACACCTGCAAGTATTTAATTAGCCAGTGGACCCTATGCAGAACACAAGCCTACATGAATATGGCAAAAAATGAAGTATCCTAATTTTCAAATACTTGTGCTATTTTTTTTGTGAACTATTTGATTAATTTTGAGTAAAGTCAAAAAAATAAATCACAGCCAAGTGTTTCCAACAACACTATGAACTGAACAATATGAAATATGAAATGTAAAATCCTATGAAATATGAACTTTCATTTCTACTCAGGAAAACATTTACAATCTTTTCTCCAATGCCTGATGAAGGGTGCTTGTACCGGAAACCTTGCAATTAAACATTTTTTTTTTGCAAAAATATTTTTGGTCTAATAAAAGATATCACCTCTACCACAAGCCCTGACTGCTTTTGCTTCTAGACCAGTACGGCTACAACCTGGATACCCTCCAACAACACTGTTCTTCATGTATCACTGTTGTCTGTAAAACTCAAAACTCAAGACAAAACCAAAATTATGGACAGTGAATACTTTAAGAAAATGACTACCTGTGTGAACAGTTATTATATGCAGCCTGATTACTATTCATTTCCATTCTTTTTATATGTAGTAAGCCTGTTTTTAGCAATATTACTGTTACTCTCACTGTAGAAGCACCACTATTTCAAGCAAGAGTGTGCTGGTATTTAGGTCCTAGAAATACCTGTTTTTAAACATTTATGAGCATGTCTTTATTATAATATTGAAGAAGATGACTGTGAAGTACCTGTAATAGACAACAGGAGGGGAAGCTCATATGATTTTGAGCTGTGTCCAGCCAGCGTGCCTTGGGATTGAAAAGGCCACGTATGTGCGCCGTGGGATGGAAAAGGTTGGGAAATGCTGCTCTAAGTTACCACTGCTTCCCTGGGGAACAGCTACGCCTAGAATCAGGAAACTATACAAAATATAGCATAATTGAGCAAGAGTGGGGAATCTCACCTAACTTGACAAAATTTTCTTAGAACATTCCATAAACAATACACACACTTTATTATGAATTAAAAAGGTAATTAGGTTATAAGTTGTTGAAGAATTAACCTGAGACTCTGTAAGAGTTCTCACTACCTTAGAATTTTACCTATATCAGTGATTTTCAACCTCATTTGACACGAGAGCCCTCAGAAATTTCCAGTTCTAAGATTTCACTCATTTTTTGAGTATGGAAAAATAGTAGAGCAATTCTTTGGTTTCAAATAACTCAGAAAGATCACAACAGGCCAAAATATTTTTGATGCTACAAATTTCGATTTGAAAACTCTGGATTTATCTTGTGAATCATCTGTAAGGGTTAGCATGCCTAATCTCTTAGTACTGCATGGCATACAGAAGCACCCTTGAAAGGATCTCACAATACCCTATAACTTGGGGTGCCCTCAATCGTGCCAAACTGCAGTTTTTCCAGACTGTGGACCATGATGTGGTTCCTGCAGGTCACACGTTGTGATAAAAGCCTGGCAGGCAATGGCCTCATGGAAGGCAGGGGCTACAATCCCACTGCCTTGTAGTATGAGAGTGGGAACAGCTGGGCCAGCCATGCACAAGGACCTGCCTCTGCAGAGAGTATACAATGGGCCTCCGGATTACAGTAGACAATAAGATGAATATGAGCCAACATATGGTGCCCTTGTTGCGAAGAAAGCTGACAACATAGTGGGCTGCATTAGTAGGAGCACTGCCAGATCGAGGGGAGGGATTATTTCCCTCTATTCAGCACTGGTAAGGCCACATCTGAAGTAGTGTGTCCAGTTTTGGATCCCCACTACAGAAAGGACATGGACAAACTGGAGAGTGTCCAATGGAGGGCAACAAAAATGGTTAAGGGCTGGCGCACATGACTTCTGAGAAGCTAAAGCAAGACTTCCCAAGCTTTTCCTCAACATGATCCAATTTAAACACTGGAAATTTTTTGTGACCCCAAAATGACACAGACAAGATCAACAAGGAAGGGTATCATATTTCTTTCGTTTCTCATTCTCATCCTTGTCATTAGTTTTACTCCTAGAGAAAAGCATCCATGAGTTTTACTTCAGAGAAAAGCATCCATGTTAAATTTTACATGATAGAGAAATCTAATTTCAGCCAGTAAAATCATACTGATTTTACGTCAGCTTCCTGTAACGTACAAGTGCTTTGCATCAGAGTTGCAACTGTTGTGCATGGATGAAAAACTGCCATGTATGAGAGTTACATATTTATAAACAGAAAGTGTACTCATCATAATCAGCTGACACTGTCTGACCACATTTTTTTTTATCGTTGTGACCCCAAAGGGGTTGCAACCCCAAGACTGGGAACCACTGGGCTAAGGGAACTGGGCTTATGGAGTCTGAAGAAGAGAAAACTGAGGGGGGATTTAATAGCAGCCTTCAACTACCTGAAGGCTGGTTCCAAAGAGGATGAAGCTAGATTGCTCTCAGTGGTGGCAGATGGCAGAACAAGGAGCAATGGTCTCAAGTTTCAACAAGTGGGGTTTAGGTTACATATTAGTAAAAACTCTCTCACTAGGAAAGTAGTAAAACACTGGAACAGGTTACCCAGAGAGGTTGTGGAATCACCACTCTTGGAGGTTTTTAAAACCTGGCTAGGCAAAGCCTTGGCTGAGATGATCTAGTTGGGGATGGTCCTGCTTTGAGCAGGGGGCTTGACTAGATGACCTCTGAGATCCTTTCCAACCCTAATTTTCTATCTCAAGGGAATCCCTGCAGGCTGGGAGTGCCCAAGGAGGTGGAAGCAAACTGAAGAGCCAGAGATCAGGACAATAAGTGCCACAGCACAGGGGAATCTCCAGGGGTAGGAGATAGAGGCAGTCAACCCCAACTACATGCAGGATCAGGGCCAGGATCAGGAGTCTGTGGGATTGGGGGTGTGTTCATGGGATTAGGAATGGCAGGTCTATAGGGGGCATAGTGCGACTGTGGTTGGGTGGGGTCAGGTGGAATTAGCAGGACAGTTCTGCGCTTACGGCCACTAGATCATTGCTATTGTTCTGCTTTAGGAACTCCTTGTGCTACATACCATGAAATCTCCTTCATTTGTCACTGGGATAACTCCTAACTTTGTTCTCATCAGTTAGTAAGGTCCACACATGGTGAACTATGTCTGTATGCAGCCACAGTAATTTACATACATGCAAATTACCATTGGTATGTTTATTTTGAACCCGTTTATTTCCAAGTCAGTATTTTTGCCCCCTGCATTTCAAATTAATGAAGTTTTCCTGTAAACTTAAAAAGTAATTCTAACCTCCCAATGCTCTTGTGTATCCAGAATAATACAGCATTCTCTCTGTGGTTGTAGTTTTCCCAGCATCAATATGAGCCATGATGCCAATGTTCCGGATTCTGCACAAAAAACCCCAAACAAGCCAGACATTATTTAATGCAGTAATTAATATTTATACAGTAATATTATTATCATTCTGATAAGGCAAGTCATTTCAAAACATCAGAAGATACCTTTACATTGTTGCACACGTGATATAGTGTGTGCACTTGTGAAATTTTGAAGTTAAAATGGTTTAGAATTCAAGCCGTGGGCTTTCTACAAACATGCCCCGTGACTGTTTGAAGAATAAGTGTACAGTGTACTAAAAGGATCAAAGAACAAGAAACATACATTTATATTACTCATACCATTTCAATATCACACTCTGGTATCAGCAGCAAAATAAAGATATAAAATTAACGTCATTTGCCTTTTACGAATAACAACCACCACATCAAAGACTACAATGAATGTCAAAATACATACATTAACCCTCTCATTAAGGGTTCAATCTCAGGCAGAGGAGAAAGTCAAAGGAAGAACTCCAATTCCATCAGCCTGAGACTACTTTCCTATCAACTGTTGTCTCTTGCCTCCTTCCACTATCTTTAGCAATTCTTTAATGAACATATATTCTACCACCTACAATTTAAAACATACCTGAATTTAAGCAGCCACCACTACCATAGCCTATGAGGCTTTTGCTTAAGTGTCACAACCTTTATTTCTTACATGCAGAAATTATAATACAGAAGAAGAGTTACTTACTTAGATATATGTGGTGAGATGATCGAACGCAGAGATTTGACATCTTCTGTTTTACAAATAAAAATGAGAAAAAAAGAACAAGGTTTGTTGAAACAAATTCTCACTGTGTGAGTGAAATTTTATTCGTTAAAAAGACCTGTGAAAGGACCATTCCTCACTTTTAAAAGACTGTTTAAGAAAAGTAGCAGATGGATGCTCTTCGAAAAAGATGCAATTTAGGAGCAAAAGGGGAAAGTGAACTAAAAGAATAGAGGATAACTGCCCAGCATTCTCAGTATCATTCTGTAAGATTTTACAGAGAACCCAAAAATAATTTAAAATGAAATACCTGGCAGAGAACAGTAATTTTTTTGACTGCATGCTTGTGGTTTTAGTCCTTTTATAACCATCACCCTTGTTCTCCTGCAATGTACATACTAGAAAGACAGAAAGAGAGAAACAATTACAGCTCTAAGTAATTAGTTTGCAGAACTACTTTTTCTCCAATTGAGGTTTTTTCCTTCGTTTTTCCCCCAAATATGAATATTATTGGCATCTGGGGAAACATAGGTAAATAATACAATTATATCTGTGACAGATATTCTGAAGCCTGATATTTGCTGTGTTCAGGCATTTCACCATTTCAAATTCCTGGTGTCAAGAAGCCCACCCCCACCATATCCAAATCTAGTAAGATATGTAGTCTAATAAAAATAAAACAACACAGGACATAGGATTTCACTGGATTTACAGGTACCAAAAAAAGTTAATGAAAACTACAGTAAAATCCCTGTTTTCCGGCATTCTACTGGCCAGCATGCTGTATTAATTTGCACTGTGTCGCCATCCACCACTCTGCGCCACCTCCATGTGCAACCACTCCACACTGCCACCACCATCCACCACCCCATGCTGCCGTTGGGTGTATG